CTCTGCATGGCCGCCAGAAGCAGCTAATCCTCCTGGCATATTAAAAATACCAGCTGGGATCGATGGAAACATGTGGTGCCATAGCATAGATGCCACAGCTACCCAACTTCAAAACTTGCACATGCCAGTCCCAAAGCAAACAGCTCAAAAAGCAAATGACAATTCTTTTGCCAGGCAGTGCAATGTTTACTGTAAATCGAAAACGTAACTAATCTTTTCCCACGAATTCCTGGTTAGAACAATTTCCCACCAAGATTACATTTGAAATAAGCTTTGCACACAAGACAATACTTATAGAAACAGCGGAAGGACAACTGTTCCCATTAAGTGAACACACCTAAACGCTGCCTTCTCTTCTTGATCGCTTCCTTCTCTTGAATTTCTTTTTAAAAACAAATGTAACCCACAGAGAAGGATTCCCAAGTTTAAAAGGATGCATTTTTCTCCTTCGCTTTACACCACCAGCGCAGATGTATCTATATTTCCTTATGCTTTAGTGTTCACAGCTTTGCAGTAAACAGCCAGAGTGGTTTCCCTGGTTTATTGGTTTTGATGGAGCTGATCATCGAACAAAGTTGATGGAATACCTGATTAGCAATAAGGAACACATTTAAGCACATGAGTCTATCCTTCACCCTGAGTACAACAAATTTGTGTCAGGAAGTCACACAAATAATCACCTTGTTTCTCCTTTCCTTATATTGTTTCCGTCCCTTGCTGGACTACAACTCCCATCTTTTCTAACCACTGGAGGGCACCGATTTGGGGGCAGGCTGATGCCGAGCGAGCCTGTTGCGGAGAGGGATGGAACAGAGTTCGCTGAAAAGGGGAATGACAAGCTGGCTGGCACCCTAAACATGAACACTCCACACTACAACATTTTGTTGGAAGGCCACACTTGTCTTACCTAACACTCAACATGGCTTGCAATACTACACTTGCCTGTGTTTCACTTGACAGTTAAGGTGTGGGTTGGGGTTGTTTTTTTCTGTGGGACCATCCTCTTTCGCTGAATTTATGCTGTTCTCTTCCATCTGGAATGGGTTTGTTTGTTTCATAATTGCAAATGTTTTATTTGCTTTTATCATCATTTGTTGTTGTTTAGTCGTTTAGTCGTGTCCGACTCTTCGTGATCCCATGGACCAGAGCACGCCAGGCACTCCTCCCGCAGTTCGGTCAAACTCATGCTGGTAGCTTCGAGAACACTATCCAACCATCTCATCCTTTGTCATCCCCTTCTCCTTGTGCCCTCCATCTTTCCCAACACCAGGGTCTTTTCCAGGGAGTCTTCTCTTCTCATGAGGTGCCCAAAGTATTGGAGCCTCAGCTTCAGGATCTGTCCTTCCAGTGAGCACTCTGGGCTGATTTCCTTAAGAATGGATACTTTTGATCTTCTTGCAGTCCATGGGACTCTCAAGAGTCTCCTCCAGCACCATAATTCAAAAGCATCAATTCTTCGGCGATCAGCCTTCTTTATGGTCCAGCTCTCTTTATCATCATACATTATATTTTATTTCTAACCTGCCCCAAGCCCTTATAGTGAAGGGTGGGCAAGAGACCTTGCAAATAAACCAACAGAGGTACTGTTGTGCGTGCTGCAGTTCTTGTACAAATAATAAACGCTACCACCCAAAGTGTGGCCAAAATGTCGTCAGGGTTCCCTACATGGATTTTCAGATCAGAATTTTGCTACAGCCATAAATTCTTCAAAGGCCAGGGACAGAGCCAAACATGCTTTAATTGTCAGTGTGGCTTCAAGGCTGTGCTCTCTTTCAGAACCAAAAAAGCAAAACACAGGAAATGTCAAAACACATACATTATGGAATGTATTCATATCTGATTTTCAGGCAGATGGGGGTGGATCAAAGGTTTACTGGTCCTGCTCTCTTAAGAAGCCCAAGCTGAAGGATTATAATATAACGGGGGATTTTAAAAAAGTGACTACCATGCAATTTCACCTGCCAAAGAATAACAAAGTTAAACATGCCACATTTGTTTATCCCAAGACACAATCCTACAAAGATATAGCTGTTCAGCAAAGAACTGGACAAAGGAAAACCATAATTAAAAATGTGGCATTCTGAAGTTCACACTTCCCTTGCGGAAGCAGCAAATCTCACTTCTATTGTTTCTCAGGAACCTTCCCCCCCCCCCCGCCCTCTTTCCCGGCTGCAATTTAAATCAATCACATTTTCCCTTGCTAACCCAGCTTACCTCCTGCTATTAGGAGATACTGCTTAAAATGTAGTGCACCCAAAGCTTTTATTTAAAAACGAAAAGGGCAGAGAGGGGGTTACTCTGAGAAATTACTCTGATAACTATCAGACAGCACAACTGGTTTTACAAAAGGCACAAAATTAGGTTTGGAAATTGGTTACGAAATGTGAAGTCTTTTCTGGGTCTTCCTAAACCCACATGGGAGTTTTTCAAAAGCTGCTCTACTTTAAAAAACAAAAACAAAACCAACACACTTGTTCTAATAGTGCCCTTTTTGCACTCTGAAAGAGAACACAACCTATTCCAGAACAAAAGCAGCAGCAAGACAAAGAAGCCACGTAATTAGACATTTGGAGACACAGGATAAAAAGAAACAAAAACACACTCTGTCTTGCTACCAGCCTTCCTACGTTATGAAATGCAGATTTTTACTATTCACATTACAAGAATAGCAACTAGATTTATGAGGGTATAAAAATACATTCAGCAGCCTGGAACTGCTGGTAAGATGCTGGAACAGGTTAGCTGCCTGATTTCGAGTTATTTCTCTCTCCTCCACCAACTTCCAAGCCCTCGGACTCTGTGTGTTTTAGAGAACCATCTGTCTGAAAAGCAGGAATGTAATAGCAGGATGGCCAGTGATTAACTGGCAAAATCTTAGGGCACCTCTATATGGTGTTATTATTTCTTTTAATACTTCTCAGACATGATTTCTACATGCCAGGTTCTATAATGACCTTGGAGTGAAAGTCAGAGCTTCTGCACTGGACAGAAATATTGACATATGTAAAGTACATTACTTTCACTGTAATCTAGATGGCAAAAATAGCCATCCTGATGGAACCACATGCTCTTCTGTAGTGAAGTAGTTCATCTACTGCATGATGAAATTGGACATCAGCACACACACAAAACCCCACAGGTAAACTCTGTTTTTCTACATATCTTGAGGACGACAAAGCATGATTGATCCAGGAATGCATGCAACCCACACATCTGCTTGTGTGTTTTCCTATTTCATTAGAAACAGTGAAACATGCCTGACCTTTCTAGCAGTACACAACTGGGTAGTCAGAATTAATTTATACACAACAGGGAATCTCCAAGAGAAGCATGGACTGATCAACCTCTGTTGTTCTATGGGAACATTTGCAACATATGCAAACTGAGGGTGAACAATGAAAGCTAGTTCCCAGACATTACACAATGGGAGCACTTCACAAGGGAAGCTGCTCTAATTATTGCATTGATGGCACATTCAAGCATTATAGCTGAGGAGACTCAGAAGTTAACCCTTCCAACATATCACAGATAGCACAGATTTTGTTTTTGAAAATCCCACTGTTTGCAGGTTTGATTGCCTTCCTGACTTTTTAAAAATAATTTATTCAATTGTTTTTCTGTGCAGCATTAACTACTGAATTCTTCCACCTACATCTTTAACTTATTAATTTAGCTTTTTGCTTTTTTGGTAGACACTTTGAAATTTATTTGCATTGCTTTTAATTGTATTTCATGTCTTTTCATTGTACACTGGCTTGACTATGATATGGTGGTACAGAATAGTAATCACCATGAGACACTTAATATTTGATGGTCACATTCATCTACTGTATATTCTATTTTAGACTTGATATTTGGTTTCCATAAAATTTTTGGATGATATTCATCAGAGGTGCCAGGTTGCCCCGAAGACTGAGAGGGCCCAGCGCGTGTCGTGCTCGTGTGACGAACTGTGCACGACAGAGGAGGCCGAGGCCTCTGGAGGAGCTGGCCACTGAACCTGTGACACGCTCAGGGATGCCTTAATTTGAGGGGGCCTGGCTCCCTTAAAACAAATATTCAAGGAGCCAAGATTGATGTGTCTGATATACATTGTGTCAAAGTATTATTGCAGAACAGAAATTGGAAGTCCTCTTAAAATGTGAGCTATGGGGTGACATTCTTTTTAAGCGTATTACAGTGGTGCCTCGCAAGACGAAAAGAATCCGTTCCGCAATTCTCTTCGTCTAGCGGTTTTTTCGTCTTGCGAAGCAACCCCATTAGCGGCTAAGCGGATTAGCGCTATTAGCGGTTTAGCGGCTATTAAAGGCTTAGCGGCTTATGCTAGGCTTAGCGGCTTAGAAAAAGGGGGGAAGCGGGGGGGAAATGGTGAGACTCGCAAGACATTTTCGTCTTGCGAAGCAAGCCCATAGGGAAATTCGTCTTGTGAAGCGCATCGCAAATGGAAAACCCTTTCGTCTAGCGGGTTTTCCGTCTTGCGAGGCATTCGTCTTGTGGGGCACCACTGTACTCAAGCAGACCAATAGTCCAGGTACACAAACCAAAATCCCTGACCATGTATACATTTTGCACGCATTTCAAACTGGATGCAAGTCACAGAAGAGTAAATTAATGAAGAAGAATGTCAGAGGAAATTACTACTTATTGATCAATGATGGATGTTGAACTATGGAATTCTTTGGCAAGCCTACTAAGGTCGAGGGTTTCTGGGAAATTGGCAATGCACATTTAAAAACATAGTTTGAAGGTAGCTTGTTTCAACAAGTTCGCAGCCAGGTCTATTGTCCAACAATTTACACAAACCACCCAATACCTTTCCAGGAGTGGAAAAGGGAATGTATGGTCATGTAGAGCTAAAATACTCTTCCCATTTAAATGCTGATTTGCTGCAAGGATCAGAGCATTAACTGAAAACATTTCGTCACAGACCACTTCCTCTTTTATTTCCTGTGGCAAGTGTCTCTTCAGCAGAGCAGGCACAAAAAGTTCATAAGATATACCTGATAGTAGGTCTTGATGTTTCTGACCAAGATGGTGAGGTTTTGAATCCGTAGGTTGACATCATTGTTGACATGCTTGTTGACACGCTGGTTTGTGGGTCGTGGATCTCTGAAAGAGGAAGGCTGGGATTTTAGGAAATCCAAAGGAATTCAGTAATTACTTTGTTGTTTAAACAGTATCTTTGCTATGTCCCTCAATTGCCCTTTATTTGCTCCTTTGCTACTTCCCGAAATATCCAAACCCCTTGTAAATTCCATAACCTCTTTGACCTTCGTAATCACAAGGTCATTCCACAAGTTAGATAGAATGAGGTGCTAGGATTCAGAAATGGTCTATTTCAGGCTGAAGGTGCAAGGCTGAGATTTCAAAATAGATGGCTGGAGAACTAAGCTTGCAGGCTAAAAGTGTTAACCTAGCCTTTACACACACACACACACACACAGAGAGAGAGAGAGAGAGAGAGAGAGAATGAGAATTGTGCTAGTTTCACTACATATAAGGAGTCCTATAGACAATATTTCATAATTAAAACTACTACTTGCAGAATTAAATTTTGTGGTCCAAAATACGAACATCTCATTCTACTTAACATGTATAATGACTTTTATACCATGCTTCCCAAGGTAATGGGGTAATAGAGTAGACTATAAAGTGCTGTACAGTGGTACCTCGGGTTAAGTACTTAATTTGTTCCGGAGGTCCGTTCTTAAGATGAAACTATTCTTAACTTTAGCTAATGGGGCCTCCTGCTGCTACCGCGCTGCCGGAGCACGATTTCTGTTCTCATCCTGAAGCAAAGTTCTTAACCCAAGGTACTATTTCTGGGTTAGCGGAGTCTGTAACCTGAAGCGTATGTAACCTGAAGCGTATGTAACCAGAGGTACTGTAAACAGTATCACTTCAGAATGCAAATAGGAAGGCTGTTTTTCTATGTTCTACCAAGTAAAGAACTGCAGTTTTTAAAAAAAAAAATTAAACCAAGAAAGAAAGAAAGAGCGAGCCAGCTATGACATATCACCATTGTACTTGTTTCCCCACTTAACAGGCAGAATAAAAAAGTGACTCGCTCATCTACAGACTGAAGTGATAATGGTGATGATGATAATGAGGTTATTATTTATACCCCAGTCACTCTGGGCAGCTTCCAGATACAAGTCAACCCCCTCCATATTCTTTCTACTGTATGCATAGACTAGTCAGAAACTGTCTTATTTGAAAGGCACCTAGCTTGCTATATGTATAATGTGCAAAAATTAAACGGCAGTAGCGGTTATATAATAAAGAAACAGACAAATGAAGTCTTTCACAAAGGCAGGCACATTGGCAGCCTAACCGTGAGTATTTCTCAGTTAAGGAAGTCTTTTTTACCTTAAAGGAAAACAGATTGTTTCATGGTATTTAAACCTCAGTTGTGTAAGAGCTGTTGTAACAATGTGATCATTTTACACTTGGTTAGTTTTTTACCCCAAGCTACTCACCAAGTCTTATCAAATCAGGTGCACAAGTCTGAAATTTTAAATTCAGAGCTGGTTTTTAAACAAATTCCCCATCCTCACACAGTCCCAGCCTTCCTCAGAGGCGATTTCCATGACTGAGAGGAAACTGCTGGTGCAGCCACCAGGACTGATCTACCACCTGGTGGAATCTGCCCCTTGTCCCAGCATGAAAGCAGGGCACAAGAGGCACAGCTGTGCTGCTCCCAAACAAAACAGGGAAAGCTCTCCTTACAAGGAGCTCAGTCCAATTCATCCACAAGCCAGAGATCTGGTGTATAATAAAATTTAAAATAAAACAGGCAATGGCAACAAGCAAAAGCTTGAGGCTTTCAAAGATGTCTGGGAAAGATTAGAACCCAAAGGCTTTTGGTTCTAGGTTGTCAAGACTGGCGGCTGTTAAACTGGCTCCATCACAAAAGGCAAAGTTTGGCCTCGGAGCAGCAGAATTAAGACTCCGCAGCGCAGCATTTCATCAGACCACTTCCCCTTTCACTCAGGTTTGTCTATATAGTACTTTGGGCTTTACAGTTGTACCTCGGGTTATGAACGCATCGGGTCGCGCGTTTTCGGGTTGTGGGCCGTGTTGAACCCGGAAGTACTGGAACGGGTTACTTCCAGGTTTCGGCGCTCGCGCATGCACAGAAACACAAAATGGTGCCACACGCATGTGCAGAAGTGCCAAATCGCACCATGCGCGTGCGGGTTGCGAACGTGCCTCCCGGACGGATCACGTTCGCAACCCGAGGTATGACTGTATTAACTTGTAGCAAGATGAACCATCAAGGTTGAATGGGGAAGGGGAGGAAGAGGAGGGGGAAGCAGTTGCCATGGATGGCACAAGGTCTCCTTTCCAAACCCGAGGCGCTCATCTTCCCCCAAACCAAACACGGACCTGCATGGCCTGAGAGATGATAAATGTTTCCCTCACTACCAATAGCCCACCAAGCTGGGAAAGCTTAGGAAAAACCAACACACCCCTCCTACACTGGAAATGTCTGAAAGGGGGAAAGGAGAAGGAACAGCGGTTTACTCCCAAATCTACTGTGTCAGGAGCGGGTTGGCTTCCCCATTTCCAAGGGCGATGGGCAAGATTTGCTTCCCCCCACAGTGGAGGTTTTACTCCCCTGCCAGCCGTTCACTGGCAGGGGAGTAAAGGGCTACTTTGAGGTGGGGGCTAAATCTCTTCCCCTGCCCATTAAGTTGATGGATAATGCCGAAATGGCAAAAATGACCGGAAGCATCAGAAATCAGGAAGACCAAAATTTTAATAAGGAATGGGGGGAATTTATAAATTATCTTAAAAACCATTGTAAACATCTAAAATCGTCAGTAGGATTGGAATACTTGTAGTTTAATGGTGAATTTTGGACATAAGCGGAGGTGTAAAAGACTTGGATTATTATAAAAGATACGGGAGGAAATGACTAACAATAGGACCCACGAAAGGGGAGGAGGGAAGTCCAGGAGATTCTTTGGAATCTTGTTTTTATGTTGTATGTTGGATATGTGATTATAAAATTTTAAGCTGAAAAACCAAATAAATAAATGTATTAATAAATAAATAAAATCTCTCCCCTGCCTGTGATGATGCCAGACATGGGTAATGTCCAGACTACATGACAGCAGCAGACCATTATCTTCAAATGTGGGTTTCCCTCAATCACATCTAAAGCCAGGGTTGAAGTGCAAAGACATTACAATTGCTCCAACAGGTGGAAAACCCATTAGGTGGTCTGTAGGGAAGGGTGGCGCTGTGGGTAAATCCTCAGCGCCTAGGGCTTGCCGATTGCATGGTCGGCGGTTCGTATCCCCGCGGCGGGGTGAGCTCCCGTCTGCGGTCCCAGCTCCTGCCCACCTAGCAGTTCGAAAGCACCCCTAAAGTGCAAGTAGATAAATAGGTACCGCTTTCTAGCGGGAAGGTAAACGACGTTTCCGTGTGCTGCGCTGGTGCCGGCTCGCCAGAGCAGCTTCATCACGCTGGCCACGTGACCCGGAAGTGTCTCCGGACAGCGCTGGCCCCCGGCCTCTTAAGTGAGATGGGCGCACAACCCTAGAGTCGGACACGGCTGGCCCTTACGGGCAGGGGTACCTTTTCCTTTACTAGGGAAGAAAGTTTGGAAACTGATATAGGGGAGATGAGTAAGTTTTAAAAACAAAAGGAAAGCAAATTGCACCAGGAGGCATAGCATGTGAACACCACACTCTGGCAAATTCACATCACAGCCATGTGCCCTGTGGGCCCAAAATTCTTTTGTTCACCTTTCCTTTAATTTTAGAATATATGAACTCAATCATTTAACTCTCAGACAGCCTGCCAACTGAGCTCTCAGCATCAAACCTAATCCAGAAGCCTGTCTGGGTTAGAAGCCTGTCAGGTCCAGGTGCACTTTTGGAATTCTGGGAGTTGAAAGGGCCTGTGGGTTGTACTTGTCTTCCTTTATATAATAAATTTGGGGCATGGGAGCTTCTCTGTCCGGGGAGCTTTGGATAAAGAGCAGGTTGCAAATGCCTATAATAAATATATCAAAGTTGGGGGGAACTGAACAAGCAGAGGTTTCACAGATTTGTTCACATTTCCACATTGTTTTATATGCATATCAACAGGCACTTCTGGCTATTCAACAGAGCCAGTACCTGTTAGCTCACTGTCCTGAGTCAACAGAAAGTAAAAGAAAACACACTGATTTAGGATATTTGGCACCTGCCACTGCTTGTACTACAGCCATGAAAGATAAACGACTTCCGAAGGCCAGTTTTCTATTGCTTGCAATTATAATCACAGTGTAGTGTAGTGTACTGGAAAGAACATGATGGAAAAACAAGCTCATGTCTAACCTTTATGCTAAAAATGCCAAGATTAACTGAAATGCCAAATAGGTGCGGAAATTGTTTTTGTTCAAAGAGCTTCTAACAGAGGCTTGGGTAAGCTTTCAAAAGCCGGAAAATGCTATTCCCTATTTCAGGGAACCTTTTCCTCATTGACTTACCTGCTAAGAAACTCTGATACATTAAGGGAGAATTCCAGGGAGCATTCTACTCGCCTCACAAACAGTCGTGTTTGAGATGCAGGATATTATATTATATAAATAATATAAATAGGAGACACGCTCAGTAGAGGTAGGCAATAGAAAAACCAGTTCGCTCCTATCAATGCCTCATAGATGAGCTGAGAGCAGGTTCTAAAACAAAACAAACACTCTGCAGTGGCTGCACAAGCCGGAGGGGGGGGAATAGCAGGTGTGGTGGGCAGAGCTGTCCACTCTTTCTTATCTTTATGGTGAGGAACCCTGCTGAGAAGCTTCCAATGAACCTCCAGGTTCCCTGGGGAACAGTTCAAGAGATGGGATTCCAACCAACCATTTGTGAACAAAATGGCGCCTTCCATTTTCAGAAGGAACTGGGATCCAGCACAAGTTCCCCCACTGGAACAGCCTTTGGTAGCATTTATTTGTTGATCCTCCCTTTCCCCTACAGTACCTCGAACCACCTTTCACGCTGTAATGAGCAGCCCTCCAATGCTCTGGAACAGATTTTCAAGGGACTAAGGGGGAAGGTGGTATCAGTGAAAGCCAGTTCCCCACTTCTGCTGGCAGGAGCATCTCATGAGCACAA